TACCCTATGAGCCTGATTTTGATGAAAAGAAAATACCAACAAAAGCTAGACCAATTCAAATGAACAGTGAATTACTACAAACATGCAAAGCTGAAATATATGACTTAATCCAGAAACAATTAATAAGACCTAGTCAATCCCCTTGGAGTTGCTCAGCATTTTATGTCAATAAGAATGCTGAAAAAGAAAGAGGAGTTCCTCGATTAGTTATCAATTATAAACCTCTTAATAAAGTTTTACAATGGATTAGATATCCAATTCCTAATAAAAAAAGATTTATTAGACAGACTTGTCAATGTAGTCATCTTTTATAAATTTGATATGAAATCAGGTTTTTGGCAAATACAAATTAAATTTTGATGTGTGATGATTATTTGATAGGATATACATGGTATAATACATGATTTATTACATGATATGTTACATGTAATATATAGGCAAACTTTCTATGCTTCCTCTACTGTATAAAACTTATATACTTCCCTTATCCAACCGACCATTCTGAATAGACAGTTGAGATAATCTCAATCACAATATCATGTCTCTATACTATTTTATTTTTAAATTTTTTCTATAAAATATTTTGATACCAACTATTGAGCTTCCACTTCTCTCTTAAACTCGCACATTATATTTTATCAAAAAAATATTTTAATATTTTGTTTAGGTGCGTCCCATTGAGAAGATGACATATTAAATTTCATATTCACCCAATTTGCAGAAAAAAAAAACTAAAAATAAAATACTCTGAGGCTTCAGATTTAGACCAAATGATCAGTGACTCACTTGATCTAAATTGAATGGCTAAATGGGGGGAGGTCCTTCCCGTACTTTATTACATAGTATGATATGGTATATTCACATTTCACTTTATAATATGGGAACATATATAATAAAACCATTTATCTTTGGTACAAGGTGGTAATAATTAATCTTGACTATTGGATGTGAAATTAGGTTGTTGCATTTATTTTATTGACCAAACTCAAAATTCAAAAGAAACTTTTTTAAACCTTGTAAAATCATATTTCGCATCGAATGGTTGTAAGCATTTGTGACCTCCCCTGTATCAAACGTAAATGGTCTCATGTATACAATCCCAAATAGTATTCATCTTATTAATGATTTTTGTCCTTTTCCCTAATATAATAATATAATATAATATATTAAATAATGTAGTATGATTTATTTAAAGACAAGGTTTCTTTAAGATTTATAACATATATTATATTCATTTATTTGCCTTTACACTGGGGCGGATTGGGTACCTAGAAATTTATTACATGACAATAGATTACAAGGAAATATGACATTTCTACTGTTTGGGTAGATTTTAATAGTAAAAAAATAGAAATATATTACCCGAGATTTCTCCAAAAATCACGAAATGAGTGAAAAATCTATTACTCCCCTTGACGTGGTAAATATTTATCCATGTTTATATCTGCCTTATCCCCGCTTAAAAAAATGCCAACACTTTATTCTCCTTCTCTCAAACTCGTCTGAGTAACTTATATATCTTATCCCTGTTTAAAAAAATCCCAACACGCTATTTTTCCTCTCTCAAACTAGTCTGAGTAACTTACCAAAGCGACGCTTTTCTCTTCACCAGTAAGCCCTACCAAAGGGACGCGCCGTCCCCTTTCTCTCTTGAGCACTAATAAACCTGTAAGCCCTACTTTCTATCTTCGTGAGCCATACTAACTGGTTTGTGCTCCCTCCCTCTCTAAGCCCGTCCCCTTTCTCTCTTGAGCACTAATAGAGCCCTACTCTCTCTTCTTGAGCCATAATAACTGGTTTGCATAGGTGCTCTCTCCCTTTCTAAGCTCAAGCTAACAACTGGTTTGCATAAGGTGGTCCCTCCCTCTCTAAGCCCATTCTCTCTCTTGAGCCCTAATAACTGGTTTGTTTTCCATAAGATGTTTCCTCCCTCTCTAAGGCCGCTCTCTCTTGAGCCCTATAAAGTGCTTCCTCCCTCTCTAAACCCGTACCCTCTCTCTTGAGCCCTAATAACTGATTTGCATAAAGTGCTTCCTCTCTCTTTAACTAGTTATCTCTCTAAACCTGAACTCTCTCTCTTGAGCCCTAATAACTGATTTGCATAAGGTGCTTCCCCTCTTTTTAACTAGTTATTTTAGTGTGGATAAGCCACTCCTTTAATCGCTTCAAAAATTTCTATTGCAATTACCAAACCTTTTGGTTTACTGATCAAACTTCTTCCCATTTTTTAACTTGTACCATAAAGATTTTGAATTTGGTATCATAAATTTATTTCTTATTTTAAATTATATAGAGACGTTTGAAAGACTTCTATAAAAAATAAATAAAATATGTTATTCCAATCATATTGTTCAAATGACTTATCATGTTGAAACCAAAGTCTAATCATGTTAGAAGATATGTGATTCCATGTAAGTGCCAAAGGCACGTAAAATAAGTAGGAAATCGTGTGATGACATGTGATTCCATGTAAGTGCCAAAGGCATGCAAAGTAAGTAGGAAATGGTTTGCAAAATAAGTAGGAAATGGTGTGATGGTGACTTTACAATGGTACAAGTTATTATTAAAAAATCTTTTTGGAATGGTGATGATGTTATTATTAAAAAATCTTTTTGGAATTATGTGATGATGACTTTAATTCCGCATTTTAGTGAAATTTTGTGATAAGAAAGAAAGAAATGATAGTTTATAGGCTAGTAAAATGTTAGTAATGCATTGTTCATATTTCTTCTTGACATAGCCAAACAGTAGCAATGTATTTTTTAGGTTGCATCTAAATACTACTCAAACATTAACAATCCATTTGCAGGTAATGATTACGCAGTAATATATTAGGCCAGTAATATATTTTACATACAATATATTTCCAGGTATCCAAACAGCCCCTGAAAATTTACAGAAATTTTCACTGAAACATGACCAAAAATTCATGATGTGAAACCTTTCAGTGCTTCCCTACCCAAGAGATGTATTTGGTGCTCTTATGGGCATATATTGTATAAATAGTCTGCCATGTAAAACAAAGCTCAAAACATGTACAATAAATAGGAGATCGTTTTAGAAAAAGTTTATATAGACATAAAAAATTTCACTAGAAGAGCTTGTTTTGATGCTCTTATATCCTTAAATTGACCATCCCGACAATAAGATGCATAGACATGAGAAAAAAGTGGATTTCAAGTTTTGGAAATAATGCACCTTATAAAATATTTTTGGACCTTCAATTTTCAAGATTTTTTAATTTTTATAGATATGCCCTATCTATACTATTTTTGAAGCTTTAAATTTTATAATTAAATATGAAAATATATTTTAAGGCTATCACAAAGATTTTCAGTATTGAGACCACATTTTTCGACATTATTTGAAGGTGTGCTTTACTTTGATTGTTAGAGCCTTGGCTCTATACAACCTGCACCCAATTGTTTTTCTTATGAATTTAGCTGCTACATCAAAGGTTCCGCATTGAAAGGTTTCTTTTTTTTTTTTAAAAGATTAAAATTTCTTTATCTGATAAAATAATTCCATTTTATAATTTATTTATGTTTTAAATAGAGTAATGATCCTATGAGACCCACCCACACCCATGTGTGTAGGACCTTAAAGGATCACCATTCAATTTGGTACATATATTTAGAAAAGTCAAGTTCCACACCCATGTCATAATTTTTCCACACTCATGTCATAGCTTTTCTAGAGATCTGTGCCAAATTTAATAGTGATGCTTTGGGATCCTACACACATGGGTGTGAGAGGGTCTCATAGGATCATTACTCTTTAAAATATGTCAATTATACTATATGAAGACTCCTTAAAAAATTAAAGAGATCACCGGTCCAATTAACATTAAAAGGTTTATTTTTTAACTTTTATTTTACTCATTTACACATTCAAGACATTTCATAAATTCTTAAATTGCTCTTATTTGAGGTTGGAGGCCCCGAACAAGCACAAATATTTCAGTACTTTTACACTCAAGGGTACTCTTGGCAGTCTCTTAAGTGGGTTAAATTATTGAAATTATCTTGTTTTTTCATGTTTCTCAATTCTGAATAAGAACAACTTGAATATTTTTAAATGGGTGTGGTTTCTATAAGGTTGCAACCTTAAACAATCCAATTAAAGCATGCCTCCAAAATTTATCATAACATGTAATTTTGGTGTAAAACTTTTTTAGGATTATCTCAAAATCTATTTTTATATCTAATTATAAAGTTTTAAACTATAAAAATGGTTAATATCACGTAGATCTATGAACAAATGAACAACTTAAAAATAGATGGTCGAGATAATGTGTTGCAAGATGCACTATTTTTGGGACTCAAAATCTCTTTGTTTTTTCATATTCATACATCTCAATGTTGAGATAATCTATTAGAGGGTTTTTCAATATCAAGACAATCTTTTTCGATGGACTTTTAAGGTGCATATTTAATTCTACATTTTAAAATTACAACCTTGTATTAACTTTTCCCTTTTTAAAAATATCTTTTAAAAAGGCATCTAAAATAAAAAAAATAAAGAGTACATCCTCTGGGGTTAATTAAAATGTTTATACACCTTGAATGATTTTAAAAAGCGGTTTTAACCCCTTCAATCATATTTCCATGATTATATGGATGACCACAAAAAGCCTGCGATCATAAGAGTTTTCACCCTCTAATAAGTAGGTGAACGCTGATGAAAGGGTCTGGGACAACCCATAAGTACATGGAATGAACCAACTGTTAAAGCCTGCTGTCTCTCTCTCTCCATCGGTGCTCATCCATCCATTGGACGGTGATAAAAATCATGAGCATTGCTTTTTTCTATGACAAAGAGATCAGAGTTCATTTGGCATGCGGTGTTTTCAATATATGTCCATTAGTATTGGACATATATTTGAATGAAAGAAATGACCGGGAGGCTGTCAGGCTTACCGGCTCAGCTTGTAAACAACTAGGAACGGCTATCAACTTCTACTAAATTTCAAATTCCAAACTCTCTCACTTTCTCTTTCTCTCTCTCTCTCTCTCAGTCGTGCTTTACTGCATTCTCCCTCTCTCTCTCTCACACACTCTCTCTCTCTCCATGCATTCTGTCACTCTACTTGCAATTACCTCTTTCTCAACATGCCTTTGAGCAAAACCTGAAATTTCCAGGCTTTTAAGCCCTGCATTTTCTGCTCAAACTTGAATTTTCATCTCTCATCTCTCTCTCTCTCTCTGCTATTGAAAACTTCAAATCCTGGCTTTCCCACCTTGAATTCTCTCTCTACACTTGAAATTTGCACTCCTTTTCATGGGAACGAGCAGTTTACACAACACCCCTGTAAAAACCCCAAGTCAAAGTCCATCGAACCATGATCCAAACCTCATAACACAGCAGAGGAAACATCCATCTTCGCATCAAGAATCAGCAGTGAGAGCGATGGATCTTAGGCCTTCAAATACAGAGTTTAAGTCTAGGTTTGAAGCGTATAATCGATTACAGGCGGCGGCTGTTGCTTTTGGAGAGAAGCTCCCTATTCCTGAGATTGTGGCTTTAGGGGGCCAATCTGATGGCAAGAGCTCTCTGTTAGAAGCTCTTTTAGGATTTAGGTTTAATGTTCGAGAGGTTGAGATGGGAACCAGGCGGCCTTTGATTCTCCAGATGGTGCATGATCCGACCGCCATTGAACCTCGATGTCGATTCCAGGTCTATAATGAACCTCAGTGACGGCCATTGGCCTCTGGCTTTAAAAACAATATATTTATATTTCATTTTCTGTTGCTGAGTTGGGTGCCGCTTTTGGATTTAAAGTTTATTTTCAGGGTAATAATGCTTGGGAGTGTTTGTAAGAATGCGGTAAGGATTAGTAATCACTGTCGAAATGCTTAGTTCCATGTTAAGTTAATAAATCAACTAATCTCTCTCTCGCTCTCGCTTTCATTTTTCCCGCTCTATAAGTGCTTCATTTACGTTTCAGGTATAGGTTTTCTGTTCTGTGTTTTCTAAAACTGCATCAGGTTTTTATAACAATTCTGTTATAATCTTTATTTATTTTGTATTTGGATGACGGGACTAGGGTTTTACAAGTTCTCTTTTGTTAGGTACAAATCATTTGCATTTGGATTTACGTTTGGGGGTTTACAGGTTCTCTTTTGTTACGGATTTCTGCAGCCAAGTTAAATCCATTTTGTTTAGGGTTTATATTTGAATTTGAACTGAGAAAAGGTGTTTTCTAACTGAGCATTTCTTATTCAAATGCTACAACGATTCTAAACTGCAATCAGTCACAGGAAGAGGACTCGGAAGAATATGGGAGCCCCATAGTTTCAGCTTCTGCAATTGCAGATGTGATAAAGTCGAGAACAGAAGCGCATCTGAAGAAGACAAAGACCGCAGTTTCTTCAAAACCTATAGTCATGAGAGCAGAATATGCTCATTGCCCCAATCTCACCATCATAGACACTCCTGGTTTTGTTCTCAAGGTACTATTGTTGAAACTCCCCTTCATTATTTTCTTTTACATTTCATTCTTGTGAATCTATTACAGTTAATGTGGTTATGTTCTAAGATATTTATGGTTAACATTGCTTTCAAGATCAGAAGAGACCCAAAATAGGACAACATAAATAAATATTACGATTTCACAATTAGAAGTGAAAGAAGTAAATTCTCACTCATCATTAATAGCAATCGCCACAAGACTAATGTGATATGAGTAGCATGTTACGATCCTAGGTGCTTTAAGGGCCTAACTCTCCGTGTTTCCCTCACCCAAGGGTTTTGGGGTGTATAGGTTAGGTACCTAATATTTGGTCTCAGAGCAACCACTGCGACCTCGGTTTAAATCCTAGGAAATGGCTACCTATGGAAAGGGCTACCTGAAAAAATAAAATCAGAGTGAGAGCCTCCATAGAGTGAAAGCAACCATGGAGTGAGAACCATCGAGGATGTCGGCTATGGAGCGTGGTGGTATGTTACGATCCTAGGTGGTTTAAGGGTCTAACTTTCCCCGTTTCCATCACCCAAGGGTTTTGGGGCGTATTGGTTTGGTAACTAACATAGAATTACAGTTTGTTTTTTTTTTTTTTGACATGAGTCATTAAAAGAATAGCAATTGTAGTTTATAGAAAAGTGCTCATTGGCTTAATGAAGAGTGATTGCAAATAAAGTTTGATAAGTGTTAACATTTTCCCATAAAATTATGCTCCATAACTTCTCCCAATTCCATGATGATTTTATCTAACATGAGATGTATTCAGTGCATATATTTCTCTGGAGAGGTTGCTGACGTATTTACATGGTTATGTTCTTGACACCTATTTATTGCTTGCAAACTGACAACTATTAGCACCATATTAATTTAACTGGACAGATTTACATGTATAGCTTCTATGTATTAGCAAGGTCATTTCTTCTTCATTTGTACTTTATACTTTGTGCATTGTCCAAGGCATGGCCAATTGCCAAATTTGAGTTTCGGCTATTTATTTGTTTTGAATTGCTTGAAATTTTTAAATTGCTGAACCAAATTAGGCTTAGGACTTTTATGAATTCTTTACAGGACTGAATCCCTTTATTTATTTTTTCATATTGTTGTTGCAAGGCACCATTCTTAAGTTTCTAGATGTATTGTTAGATGGAATCATTTGTCTGAGAAGTATTATTCCACAGTTAAACCAATTATTGAGTTTTCCAACTCTTACCAATGAGACATTGCACAAGATAATTCAATTGGATGATTCCGTGCTTATATTTGACTAAATGACAAGTATAGGGTTTCATGGGATTAATTGGTGGAGGTAACTGATGAAACTTGTCATTTAACCATGTCTTTGGTGTCACTGACTTCCTTGTTTCTAGCAGCAAGCAAGGGTTAGATGTTCATATTCCGTATTCATCATGCACTTGCTTCTTCTTTAGTGTTGAGGTCCTTCTTAATGTGTCTGATGTTTTGTTCCATTTCCACAAGCATCTTAGTATCCAGCGTCGGTTTCCTGACTAGCCTTATGGAACATGATTTTCTATTTTGTAGCAATATAATATAGAGGACCCTTGTCATGGATGCCATGTTCCAAATTCTAACTTCCTGGCTGATCGATACTTCCTGAGAAGCAGCAATGAAACAAAAAATGGGTTGCTTGTAACATTTATTTTCCCAAGCGATCACGACCAAAGATAAAAAGTAATGGTTAGAATACTACCATCAACTCTTTCGTATTTTCAACTGATTCTCAATTATTTACAGGCAAAAAAGGGCGAACCAGAGAACACACCAGATGAAATTCTATCCATGGTGAAGGCTTTAGCAAGCCCGCCTCATCGATTGCTTTTGTTCCTCCAGCAAAGCAGTGTCGAATGGTGTTCTTCACTTTGGTTGGATTCTCTTCGTGCAGTGGATCCAGCTTTTAGGCGCACAATTGTTGTTGTGTCTAAGTTTGACAATCGGCTTAAGGTAATTTAGATATTTTTTTTCAGCATTTTCAGTATTTTTTATAATAATATTTTAGCAAATTTTGAAAGCTATGTAATCAAGGAAAATATGCATTTTCAAGTGACCAATTACCTAAGGGTAATTCAAAGTTTTTAGTTGCTGAGGAGGAAAACTATGTCTTTTGACTTTTCAAATTGGTAATAAATAAGTCTATTTGAAAAAAAAAAAATTTGTTAGATTATTGATATCAGGGTTTACCTAACAGGTCTGATGTGATTAGGCTGTATGTTGCTTTTCAGAAGAATCTAGTTTGTATATATTTTTTGTACGATTCAAGCCCTCATTCTCATGGTTTTCAAACAATTCAATCTTGTAATTCATGTATGTGTAACAAGGAAAAGGCTGTAGAGTTTTTCTAAATTAGTGATTATCAAGTTTTTGGTTTTTGAGAGCGATTGCTCCTTGGTGTATGAGATGGATTGTCTCCCTCTTATCATTGAGAGTGACTCCAAGTTGCTAGTTGACCTACTCACCTACCACAACTCTCCCCCATGGAGGCTTCGTGTCCTCTTGTCCAACTGTAGGGCAAAGGTCTACTTTTTTGCAGATAACCAGTGATTGCTGATTATCTTGCTAAGCAAGCGGCATTCATGGCGCAAGCCACAGTTCGGCGGGCCCGTCCCCCTGATTTTGTCACTCCCTTCATTTTGCGGGATAACACCAATGTCCTTCTTGAAAGGCCTGGTTAATTTCTCGTACATGTCATCCTCTGTGATGTAACCTTTTTCGTGTGTTCATGAATAAAAACAAAACGGGTAGGGGCTCGTTATCCCCACTTATTTACCCCAAAAAAAAAAAAGGTTTTTGGTTATTGAATTTTTCTTTGTAACATGAAAATATTGCAAAGCTTTTCGAGTTAATATCAATCTTCAATACAACCTGAAGATTATTTGTTTAATGTTTTTTCTATCCAGTAAATATCCTTATTGTTTCATTCAAAACCATGTGTTTCATTCAAAACCATGTGTTTCTCCAAGCTATCTTCATTGTCATGGTAAAATTGAATTCCTTCTTCTAGAACTTGGCCATTATATGTAAGGGTCTAAGGTTAAGTCTAATAAAATCCAGTGGATTAGTAGAAAACATCATCCGCTGAAGTTGTCACCATGAATAAAATGATGTACGGCGACATATGAATTAGAATTGACCATTGGAGTTATGTCGTGTTCTTGTGGGTCCCACATTTTCTATCACCATCCATCCGTTAGTTGGATGGTGGAGACCCCAATTGACAATGCTTCTTGAAAGTCCTTTGATCGTAGTACACTTTGCCAAGACGTTACTGGTTTTTGGATTATTGAGAATTTTAATCTCAGGAATTTGGCGATCGATGGGAAGTGGACCGATATTTGAGTGCCAGTGGTTATCTGGGTGACAACACAAGACCATTTTTTGTAGCCCTTCCAAAAGACAGGGGGACAATCACAAATGAAGAATTTCGCAGGCAAATCTGCCAGGTTGACAATGAGGTACTACGTCACCTGAGAGAAAGCATCAATGGAGGATTTGATGAAGAAAAGTATGGATCATTTATTGGATTTGGTAGCCTTAAAACATATTTGGAGTCTGAACTGCAAAAGAGGTACAAAGAAGCAGCTCCTGCAACTCTCGCATTGCTAGAGCAGCGTTGCGGTGAAGTAGCTGATGAATTACACCAGGTTGATTCAAAATTGCAATCTACTTCAAATGTTTCCTCTCTCCGAAGAGCTGCCATGTTGCACGCAGCTTGTTTAAGCAGACATGTGGTACGTTTCTCAAGTGTATCCATTTGCCATTTTCTTTTTTGGGGTTCATATATGCAACTCTTTCTTATTTTTTGTGATATGTCATTTTTCTTGCGTAAAAATGCAATGTCTTTTAATTCCTGGGTTATTTAGAGCTCCATCCTTCATATCGCAGGAAGGTTTATGCCAAATTCCTCCTTCTCCTCCTCCT